TCGCACACAATGCAAGCATATCTTGCGAAGATGAAGTGATGCGTGACCTGGAAGTGTAGGGCAGTGAGGGGATTGTTAGGCGATAACCAATGATGTGTGCCTTCACCTAACATTGCCACATAAAAAGTCATTTCTCATCACATTTCGGTCGGCTAAATATCCACTCTTTTAACCTTATTGTTATCCATTAATGCGTGGTATGTAGCATCCATCTGCTCCCCTTCCACCACAGCTTTCCCCATCGTTGTAGACCTTGACCAATGGAACAGATGATCTTCCTGGAGGTGATGCATATACCTTTGAGTGAATAATAAGTGTTAAAACGCTTGAATCTTGTCAAGATGACGCGTTCTGCCAATACCCCACCTCTGAATCCCCATACGTCCTAGTTGACACGAAGCTTCCACTTCTGCTGTATCAAATGAGACACATCCGAGTCACATTCATAAAGTTTGGTCGACTTTTTGCCAAATGAAGGCTTGAAATAAGGTGGAAATAGTACAGGCAAGGACAAAGATTGCCGATGAATTGATGCTTTGTAGCAATGTGTATCAACCGTATTCCATACACCCCTACAGATTACAGCTGGCTGTGTCGACAACCACACGGACATTTTTGGTCATCGGATAGAGTGAAAACAAGCAGCATTTCGCAGTGGATAACATTTTTGGAAGTTGTATGCGAATGTGCCAGTGTTTGGCCCACCAATTTTTGATGTACAAAGCTGTGGAAATGACAAGGATTTGTGCATAGTGTTTGTAGGTAATCCCCTGATGAAAGAAAGCACTGATGTTCCCGGTAGGGTTCTGCCACTCCGACGGTGGATAATAAAAGAATATGATGTCCCCATCCAAATGATGCTTTTCGTCGTCGGTCACGTCACCAAGCATGAAACTGATACTTAATCTAAGCTTGAGATAAACGCACAGTCATGCGTGATTCGCTGAGGCGTTAAAGCCTCGGAAAATGGCATCCAAACTGTACTGGCATTACTCACTATTGGGGTGAATAAGTTCTTATTAGCCAAGGTTACCTGGGGGCAAAAATGAGATTCTATTTCATAGTGTGATCAGAGGTGAAGCCAAGCCTTAGAAATGGGTGGCTGAGGCTGTATTTGCGATTAAATTCACGTCTAGAGGCAAATACAAGGCAAAAGGTTTAAGTAATAAAATAGTCGCGCAACCTGTGGTGCATTAGACGACTCCTCCTCAGCCGAATAAAACTCCTGCAAGACAGACATTTACGACTTGGGGTTTGCGGGGAAACACACTAGATAAGGACGAACGAGTGAGTCTTTCACTGAAAGTCACTTTTAGCATTGTGGTTTTCCATTATTTCTGCACAGCGCAAAGAGGAACAGTTGTTCCTACAATCCAGGTAATTTTACTACTTGTGTCAGCAAGCTCACTTTACACATTTAAATGTTCTAACTCATGTCAGCAATGTTTTGTGCATGTAGCACTCTACTTTGAGGCACTTTCATGAGTTAGTATGGAGGGGAATAGATATAAACTTCGTCTGGTGAACTGCTAGGAACAAGTGTGCCTCAAAGGTAGTAAGAGGTGCCTGAAGGGACATAGTTCACAGTGAAGAAAAGCCGGTTTTCAAAAGTGGAACCAGCATCAGAATAACAAGAATGCCACCTCCTTGAGTTTCGAATTCACGGTGAAGACCTATGCAATTCACTTCCTTTGATAGGAAAGGACAGGACCTTTGCTAGCTAATCTGACTAATCTCTCATAAAACAAAGTACTTTCATGTACTTTTTCCTGTGAAAAACTGGGCCAAACCCATCACCATCTGAACATGCCTTCTCCCCCGTGCACAAACAGCATACTTCCGGTGGAAAACAGATAAAACAAGAATGATGTTGCCCAGGGGTAACCGCAGAGTGGACAGGTATAACAATTGTTCATAATTGATGACAGCTTAATGCAACCAGTGAGGCTCGGTAGTTTTTTTTTCCATTCACAGTCACTAAAACAGTTGTGTTAATGAAGTTACGAAGCGTCGAGTTCAGAATCCCTCATTCTTCCCTCATCGCATTCTATCATTCAAACATAGACGAAAGACCAAGTAAAGAAGTTTCGCTGCGTTCCGTAAGACACTTCCAACATCTGATCGAAATTCGGAGCGTTACTTTTGGCCTCTCTAGGGATTTGGTCAAAAATAATTTACAGAAGTGCTGTGAAATATAACAGTCAAGAAATGCCCTCTTCATTGGTCCAGTAAACTGAACGCATACACCTCAACCTTAAGTGACTCGACAGCGAATCACCTACTGGCGCATTCATAATACGGGATTGTGTGCCACAAAATTGTGTACTGTTTGAATTTTTTGGGTTTTGCAGTGCCGGCATCCTACTGAGCAGAAGGTGCAATTTGGTAAAGTTTTGTCAGTCCTTAACTCAGAGCGGACTCCGAGTAAGCCTGTACTCAAATCACGCACCCGATGCCAACAATCATTACCATACTCTAATCTAGAAAGTAACATTTAAAATTTATCGATTCCTACCTATCAATGTTGATAGTCAAGTCACCGTTGAAAGCAGCAGTAACGGTAAGCTCGTTTCAAAACGCCATCCCCTCTCCACGTTCTGTATTTGGCAATAAGCAACGCCTTTTTAAGCGGCACACAGCCCTTGCAGTACTTGAAACTTCCTCTTCAACAATTTCCAGTCTGTCGCACACTCCCACCATGATTCAGTAGAAAATTGTAATTTTAGGAAGACGATAACCCAACATCACGACATCATTAAGCGTAAAAAAACGGTTGTCGGAAATCCCTGTTTCGCAAGGGCTGTTGAATAAACCAGCACAGGCAAGGATGAAGTCACACCGACTACACTGGCGCAACACACCAAACGTGCTACTCGGCCGTAAACGCTTATAACCTGATATAACTATACAATCGCCCTACACCACTTAAGGTGTTATTAAGAGGACCGCAACCGGTAAGGGAGTTGGCACTGTTCTCATCGATTGCCTTTGCCTGAAACGCCTTCATTTATAGCAAAACAAATGCAGAGCCCCCACGACCATGCGAAAAAGCCCATTTGGCGGCCTCAGGACCCACTCCCATGATCGCATCCCATCAGGCAATTCAACTGCCGGCCATACTACTAAGTCGCATAATCGACTACGCATCTACAGATTGTACACAAGTGTGAGCCACTCAAAACACAAGAAAACACCGGCGAAACACCTGGCAGTAACCTGGAAACGCACCTAAGGTTGCCCCGCCCCTCACTCAGCAGAAGCCAACCAAACCACAGAACCTAAGCACAGGGTCACCCCAACCCCGATAAATGCAACTCAGAATGACTAACACCAATCAGTTAACCAAACTCATCAATTCACCAGTTGTGGAATGCAATAGTGGAAAACAAGACCACCTTGTTGTCGAAAAAGAACCCCACAATTTAACTGAGGACCGATTTAGACAAAGTCCTTCAAGCTGCAACGTACTTAACAGCTAAGCTAACCAAAAGGCGCAAACGACCACCATTACCAAAACAACAAAATATCAAATATAAGAGCCGCTTAGTCAAAATATACACAAATGCGTCAAGCTTTGGTATGCCAAAACGTAACAATTGCGACCATCCCAACCACTTGGCAGAATACCACACTTAAAAAAGTATGTTTAAAAATGACGTTGCTACTACCCGGTTGTCATAATACGGAAGAATTCTCTATGCCACAAAAAATTTACTGGTAGTATCACTAATAACACTCACAGCTTTAGCTTAGTTCTCCTCCAGTGACGCCTTTTGGCATTGTACCTACATATAATCACATAAGACAACTAACTCAAAACTCACCGAATCCGGCTACCGGTACGCGCACAAGCCCAATAAGGCAAAGTACGATTCTGTTTCTGTTTCTTTCCGAGCTTAGTCTTAAGTCTAAGGGTTTTGTGAGCGCCCTAGGAAAATATCTATCGCAACAACACTCACCATTTCGTGTCAATGAAACACGAGGTAACTGTCGGCTCCACGCGAGCCAATCCATATAAACGAAGGTTTAGCAATGCGAAAATCTATTATGATGAAATCACTAAAATAAATCTTAATCAGCAACTCAGCATTCCAAGAAACTTTTATACATTTACAACTTCTTTTTTATGGTCTTTGTGATGAAATTAAGACATTTTGACTAGTAATAAGCTAAATCGACCAGGTTGGGATAATCAAACCTTGTACTTTTGAAACATAATTGCCTGTTTTCTTATTAATCAAGAAAATGGACAATGCTTACAAATATGGTGAGCTTGGATAGCATTATGACTGCTACAAGAGTAGTGAGGTTGTTCATTATTGACTATTTCTGTCCTTGCTTGCATCCACATATTTTGAAGGAAAACCGAAAGGTCAGCCGGACCTATAAAACCATACGCAATTTGGTCTTAATTAGGCTTTGAGCTTTTGTTGTTGCATTTCTCTCCAGCAACAGTGTATACCTTAGCATGAAATTTTCACGGTTTTTGAAATAGACACAAGGCTTGGAAAAAATGGTGCAAAATCGAGCATTGATCATAAACGTTAAAAGTATGTTATTTATCCACATCGAAATCCATATGATACCCATTTTTTACACAGTTCCCTTTACTTCCTTATGCACCTACGACCACTCCATCTCTTATAGGAGGAGCCAGATTGTGTACATGCTTAACCAGCTTGCGTTACCTATTATTTACGCCCTATACATCAATAGATGTTTTTGTCGGTTTTAAAAAACCCTAACTTCTAACGTGAATACATCCCAAAAACTGAGTGCCTGTAACACTTTTAACATGTGCATTATAGATGCTTAGACTTTAGTTTGTATATTACAAATTCCTTCAAATTTTTGACCTTGTTTTGTCAGCGAGAGGATGGCAATTTTGCATATAATTTCACGAGGCTGATTCAGTAGACAGTAAGTGATCATTTGGTTTAGCCTCTCGATCACCTTGTGTCTTTTTGATTACGTCGACGTTTGGCGGCTTAGTTGAAGCGATGTTGCGTCTTGCTGTTGTCGTGTTGTCCTTCCTTTCATGCAGTTCATACGCGTATTTTGTGACTATCGATGCTTACGCGGAGCAGTGTTTTTTTGATAGAGCTAAACCCGGTGACAGACTCACTCTCTTTTTCGAAGTTTCCGAGGGTGGGTTCTACGACATTAATGTTAAGGTACGTTGCTTTTTCCACATAAACCTTATCTTATGGTGTATAGTTGACGGCACCAGATGGATCTACTCTATACAAAATTGAGAAAGAATCTAGTGGTCATTACTCATTTACGGCTAATACTGAGGGAAAGTATACCTACTGCTTCAACAACAAGATGAGCACCGTCACCCCAAAGACTGTACTTTTTGCCCTTGAAAAGGGGAGCCAAAAGCTAGGAAAAGAGGAGGGTATAGCACGTAAGTTGGGTATTGCGCCGAACGTTCTTTTTTAGCTGAACAGAGCAAACTTATTGATATGGTTAATGAACTCTCTAATGCTGTTCTTAATGCCAAGCATGAGATGGAGTACCTGGAGGTTCGTGAAAATCTTCACCGCGCAAGTAGGTTTATGGAATAGCATATTACATTGCTTAGTTAATGAGAACACAAACTCCCGCGTTGTGATGTGGGCTGCCTTTGAGGCGATCATCATTGTTGGAATGAGCTTGGGTCAAGTTTACTATCTGAAGCGCTTCTTTGAGGTTCGTCGTATGGTGTAGTCCTGTCCCGAGTAGGTATCATTGTGTAATCCGCCCACCTGTTTTTAAAAAGCGTCGCCGCCCTCCTATGCCTACTTTATAGCTGGATTGTCTTATTTTTACTGTCGGCGATCCTGCCCTAAAACGGTTGCCTTCGTGAATTTACAAAGAAAGTTGGTTATTTCCTTTATAGCAGAGTTCTTTTGGTGCGGTGGCGTAGTGTGTTCAATCAGCATCTTTCAATAATTTCCCGAACGGTTTTGTTCATCATTTACTTTCTTGTTTCTGCAGCGCTTTAAAGTGGAGTTGATTATGAGCCCTTGCAAAACTACTTGAAAGTACTTTACTGAATGGATTGGTGCAGTCTATTGGATGCTATAGCAATCCATATATTCAGGCTTAAACATGAGAGGGGATGCTTGCCTATATGGAGCTTGGAAATTGCCGTCGATTAGTCGATCTTTTACTCAAATTACTCCTCATGGTGTGGTAGAGCTTTTTGTTGTCCATTCGAAATGTGAATTACAATGGCGGTTTTTCGTTGCATTTTTTTGAAGCCACTGAAACGTGTAAGAAAAGCTCTTTTTATAGTAACAACTCTAAGGCCCTTGACCTTGGTGAGTCAACTTATTTTTCGCTAAATTCCCCCACAGTCTTCATGAATGCTTTTTTTAAGTGACGGTAATTTAAGTTATTTTTTTGGTAGCTGATGTTCTGCGACCCTGTGGACTACCATCAGTCAGGGTTGTATCAATCCATCTGTGAATAATGTGGTATTGTACCGGGCTGCATTCAGTAGTAGATTTGTTGTCATTTACGCCTACTTTAAGTACTTGTATTGCTAAATAATATTGGTCGCAGCTGTTTGCTAGCCCGGAAAAATGCAGTTGGGCTTCAAGTCATGCACGATACTTGTCAAACATCGGACTGGGGTAATTGTCTTTGAGATCTGACGTGCGGTATTGACTGGCGTCGAAGATTCCGATGTCTGTTAGGGTGGATTTAGTTATCGCTTAGCCGGGCAGTAAATGATGTTTAGGTTGGAGGTTTAGCGTCAGTCATTTGAACTCATTAATGAATTCGTTGGTTTTAAGGCTTACCTTTCTATGCCCAGTCGTTTCTGTACGGTGAGAGGTTGTGGTTATTCTGTCAATCATGAAACTTGATGGGGATTTTAGAGATAGGATGTACTGCTTTATCTGATTGAAATATGTATCTAGGTTTGACTAAGTAATGCGAGGAGCTGAGTAAAGGTAAATGCTACAATTGTTTTGTGTCGTCTGGTGTATGATAACTGGAACCAGAAATCAAGGAGTTGCTTGGAAGTGGATCGGTGGAGATATTGGTGGAATTGAATGAGCATGTTCAAGAAGCTTAAGTAGGAATATTCTGATCAGTCGGTTTTTCACGTAACCAGCCAATAGTGTATGGGGATTCATTGACAGATGTGAAACTACTCCATTTTCAGGCACTTGAGGGCTGATTGTTTGAACACTTTATACATGGTCCGCAGTGTATCTGGTTCATCCCTTTTCTTAACAGTTTAAGTTCGTGTTTTTACTTCACGCTACCTCATAGATCAAAGTTGCCTATAGTCAAAGTGGGCTTTCACTGTACCCAGAAGGCAATTAACAAACGAGCCCCATCAGTTCCACAAAAATCAACTCATCGAAGTTTTTATTAGTTTACGAAATTGATGTCGGTTCATCTGACAGACAAATGTTGACACTATTTGCCTAACGATACCAGTAACTACCGACTTTTTTTCACCTTGACAACTTCTACATTTTGTCAAATGGTGTAAACAGTGGAGATTTCCTAATAGTTCAGAAATCACTTTTAATATGACTTCAAACTCGTTACCAGCTTTGCTTAATGTGTGCGAGCACCGTGGTATGATGCTGCAAAAAAGTGGTTCTTGAGGAAGTTACGTGAAATTGGTCATATTTTTAGGCATAAGAATGCCAGGAACTCATTTTATTGCAACCCTCTAAAGTAATGAGTCGAGTAATAAGGTAAATTTCCTGGTGAATAATAACTCATAAACAACTTAGAGCCACAAATGTGTTGACTTGTGCATGGTGAATGAAGTTGATGAGGTTACTTCATCTGAAAAGTGAACAGAGCCAGAACCCACAATAGACGTTCTATTTAGCGTTATGTTGCTCACAACTGGAGAATGTAGTTATTCTCGGATTGGAAATGTTTTACACTTGCTTTATTACCTCAAAGTCTGTTCATTGCACGATGTGGTGTATCTGGTCATCATAATCTGACAGGACTTTTGCATGTCGCGTTAGTGACGAAGGTGTCAATGTCGAGAAGACTAATTGTGTCAAACGTGATGTGAATTCACTTTGCTGTGCCACGTTAATGTGCTACATTTTACCATCGCTTTTCATGCATCCCAATGGAACGGCAAGTCCTTTGATGTCCCTACAAAATACCGGTGGGTAACATACTGTCACTGTCAACAGGGTTCTACCGAGTGGGTGCACCAAATAAATACAAGTTTAATGAATTATGGCGTGGGTCAAAAACAAAGCAAATAAATGTGTTTAGAGTGCCCTGCTAGTAAATAAATGGCACTGTTAGAATGTGGAAGCCCATATCAGCATTGGTATCCGGCTACAAGCTGTGTCAAGCTCTTAAAAGGCCAGATAGCCATTCAACACGGTCTCGTGTTAAATGCTATGCAACAGAAACGAGACCTCAGTTTTTGCGGCCGTGAGGAGGCGCCTACTCACAGTGGACACATTCCATAATGGAGTGAGAGGGGAATGCGCAGACCTGCATCGTGGTTAATCACCAAATTGTACCGAAAATATGACCAACTTCGTGCTTAAACTACTTTCAAACGCGTCTCCCGAGTAACCTAAATGGTCCTGTGAGGATTTGCTAAATCCATCTAGTATTACGACCTCATTCTCGCCACTTCCTGCGGCTAGACCATCCGATTTGTATTTGAAGACAAGGATGGGGTAGTCTAGATAGGCTGCAAGAATAGCATCAGGGTTTCAAGCCAGTGTTTCGGAATCCGAATCACGGCGACCACAAAGACCCACTTGAAATGTCATTCGCAGTGCGGTTAATACCCTATACCCTCGAAAGACTTAACTTAGTATTCCCTCAAACATCAAATGTTCTTAACGAGTTGTCTTACGCGGCAATTCCTAAAAAATTCCTAATTGTCCAATTTCGAAGTTTTTTTTCTCACAATATCAGGCAAAAGCGGGGAGGCAAGATTTGCAATCGTTCCGTTCATCGCCTTCATCTACCGCACCACCGTCTTGGTTCGCCGACCGAGGCAGCGTGACTATTTACCTCTATGGAGTTCTAAAAAGCAGGTTCTACAGGCGGAAAGAATGGGGTAGTATGTGCGTAGGTGTCTGTTCCCCGATCTGGACGACAACTATGTCTTTCCAGCAATCCATCCACCGTGTCCTGTCTGATAACTGCAAGTTCAGCTGCTAATCCAGGTTGTGAGTCTTGCTGAGACCCTCGATGCATTTTCCTTAGAGTCATTGCCCTGGAAGACATTCATCACCTTGTGTGATTTACAGACTTTCGTGAGTTCGTTTTGGCCACGCTGATGTCTACACTGGAGCTAGATGGGGAAGGGGGGATGTGCAGTAGCAATCTTTATGAACAAAAGGTTTACACTAGTTACGCCTGTGATGTCTGTGAGGCAATCCCTAACGAAGTACCCCGGACCTTGCAGTTCCAACAGGGATGGAAACGTCCTTTTGTCCTTGGCGTTGGTCTGCTGGTCGTTGAAACGTTGGTTGGTTTCGACCGAGGTGGGTCTGGTTGGGTTTTCAAAAGGTATTGGTCTAGAAACTGTCTTTGTTCCTGGACTGAACCAAGGCGGTGGTATACTTGAGGTTGACCAAGTGTTGGCACTCGATTGTTTCTGCTTGTATCGTTATGGGGGGATTCTGCTTGACCACGGTCATGAGCCGAGTGGGTCTGTCTGAGTTGGTGGACGACTGTTGACCACAACTGATAATGGGGAATTTTAACTTATCGCTAGTTATTTTCTTTAATCTGAGGCATTTGCACTAAAAATTGGCTCTTCCTGCATACGTCAAGTTGAATTCATCACAGCACTACGTCAACTTCCGACGGCTTTGACCCAGATTGATCAGAGAAGCCCGCTCGCAAAAAGCATCATATAGTTCTCTTTGAGCTTAGACACTTTGGAGGCAAACAGATTAAAGTTAGCTTACTTATGATGTTTTGGAGTTTCCGCATTAAAAGTAGGGCTCCCTACACATCATCACATCATCCCCATACTTCCTGAATCAGAAAATTGAATGTGAAACTGGAATCTGAATCCTAGTGGAGCTCTGTGATACTGTTTGTGACAGATTCAATGAAATGGAACATTTGATTTGGAAGTCGTGTGCATTGAGTCGAAATTTTTCGCAGCACAGTCTCGAGAAGTAGCTCGAGCTTTGATGAATCCATTATTTAAATACAGCGCCGGCACCGTTATAAATTGCGCCGACAGCTTTAACAAACTGGTATTTGCGTGTGTGAGTAGTCTAGACCTTACCGACCTCCTAACTGGATACTCAGGCGATAAGGATAGTACCAACGTAAAGGGGGTACGGTCAGTGCGTATGTGCCCAGCGGGTCGACATGGCGAGACTACCTGAGCGTCTGTCTAGGTGTCAATGCTTCCAGTTGCGGGTACGTATAGCGACCGATTGATCATGACCTTAGAGTGGCTGTCAGTGCCCATTTTTAGGTCAACACGGTATTACTGGAATATGCTAGTGTAGCTCTTAACATCTTTTTAACTTTTTACCCTTGTTTATTCTCAAGTACGCAATACAGTCCCCGATTGGTTTGTTCAGCTCAGAGCGGTCATGTGAGTTGTGGGCTGTTCGTGAGGGATTGGAGATGTTGATAAATGCAAATCAGACATTGAAAGGAAGTTGGGGATGGTGTTGTGAGGATGGTTGCGAATGTGTGTTGAATCACTAACGATATTCTGTATTCGTGTCTTCGAAAGG